CACCGAAGAGCATTTTCGATTTTTCAGACATTTCGTCAGTCATAATTGAAGATCTTCCGCTCCACTCTTCATCACGGCACTTGTACTATACACACGATTCAGAGCTTTATAATCAAATGTAATTTTCACCTCTTCTCAAAATGGAGGCTTTTCATTTCAAATGAGTTAACGAAAGAAGCCGCGCATTTCGCACTTGGCGGTAGACTGAGTTGTCATTGTTCGAGAAACGCGTTTACAACGTATTGTCCTCGAACCAATCTCTCTGTAAAGGGGTTAGGCTATCGTGTTGCATAAAAAAAATTAAATTCCTCAGTCCGTAAGAGCCTTTTGGATATGCAACGTATTTTGTAATTTTAGATTGAAATCGAATCTTTTGATTATCGCAAGTCTCTTGAGCATCCCGCAGCAAGCAGCTTTCCTAGCCTCAGGCGTAAGGTACTAGTTGTGAACTACACGTATAATGTCACGAGTTAGTCTTTCTAAACCAGCTATTTACCATCTTCTACAGTTTACCTTGTAAGCAACAGGTATTCTTAGAAATCAGCTGACCTCTAAAGTATTCAATAAAAATTACATCAGCGTTGTACTGGTGAAATATTAGTTAGTTTATGAGTAATGAAATACCACTTGGCTGAAATAAAGAACTTAGGGAGCAGTGTGTTTTAAAGAGAGAACGGTACTAAAGGTACAATAAAGAGCACTCTGCAAGGCAATTAGTATACGAGTGAAACACAACTGTGGTATGTTCAGGAAGACCACAAAAGCTCAGCGACTGTTATACCCGCCACAGTTGAACTGTTTCCTATTTACTCACAGTAAGAACGAGAATTTTATTTGTCTACTTATCAGTGTATTTATAAAGATCTATTGTATCTAGAATGTATATATAGCTTTCAACATTTATGACATCTTCACAATTTTATCTTATCTTTGTTGGTTGGCTGGTCTTAGTCCGATGTTTTAAAACACGTAGCAAGAGAGATGGATTATTTCATACAAAATATTTTATTGCCACAAATATTAGCTCACAGATTTGCATGATACGAGTATGGCATCTGCTTTCTAGTGGTCATAAAATACACAAATATTAAAGAGATAATTTTCAACAACAAAAGCAGTAAAGATACGCTTCATATCTTGAGACTTTGTTAGATATAAAAGTCGGTTTAGTACGATAGTTGCTCAAGCATCGACGCTTTACAACGGTGACGAAGCCAATAATACTCAGTGATGTAATGGAGCTCGCTGTACTCCGCGCTAAGGACTACTCCAAAGGCTGTACGCGAGTGATTACTCAACTTAACACCAAACCAGATTACACTAGAAAACCTCCGAACGAAATCTGCAGTGAGGTTGGCCTCTTCAAATACACTCTCTGTAAATATTTTCTCACATATCGCAGCAGGAAAGGGAAGGGTAAAGAGTATAGCTTATATAGGTATGGTTTTTTGGCACGAAGGTCCGGTAACGTAATTTACAATATTAATATAGAAGGTTTAATACCGGCTGACGGGATTTATTGCGCTGAGATCTACTGCAGGCAATCCTTCAGAACACCCGCAGTCTGCGCTAGTTTTCAGGCGAAGAATTCTGCGGTAAGGAAAGCTGCTGAGATAATCAACACCACAACCAGACGACAATCCAAGCCATAATTTCACAATGTACTACGTCAGAAAATGTTTTTAGGCCTAAGAAAGCCGTGGATAGGTTGGATGTAGTATAGTTTTAGTTGAGTTTGTCAAAAATGTAATTTATCTGGCTACTGAACCGGAGCAGGAATTACCAAAAACATTAAAACTCTCTACAAGTGAGAGTACAGGAAAATGAATCCGCGCGGATGGAATCGTTTAAACGCTTGCAAGACCACTAAGATTTACTCTACAACGGCGGCAACAGTCGAGTGATTAGAATTGTGTACTATCATTCGGTAGGCCAGCGTCCGCGTCCTGTTCAGACCAACATGTAAAATTATAGAAAATTCAATTCTCTCATTGCGGTCATCGCCCAGCAGAGAATGTCGAGCACTCCGAGTGTTTTCCGGACTTCATAAAAAAGTTCTTCATAAAAATACGTCAGCCGTTTACAGATCAATTAGAATAAACTGTGGGTCTATCCATTTTCGGAAAAATATCAAGACATAGATATTCCACGAATCGGAGAAGACTCTCGACCGCAAATCCATTCACCGGCTAGAGAGAGCCAATTATATATACAATATATATGTATATAGTCCCTAAAATGGAGTGTAAAGTTAGGAGATAACTCATGCGATCTCAAAGAGACCACCAGCCAGCCCACAATAGCGATGCATGAACCCACTAGTATTTAACTAGTATGACGCTGATGCGTAATCGTTCAATTAACAGTTCGTAGGTCATTGCTATGTTAAAAGTACCAGCAGCTAGTATACAAATTATGGAAGATGAAGATGATAAAGTCGAATCAGCTTAGGTAAGAAGACAAAAAAGCAAAAAAAACTTGCACATTTTTCCTACTGGGTGGTGCTAAAATTAATTAATTTGAAACTCTATAAAATCAGTTTGGAAATATTACTTTATTCAGAGAGATTTCAGTTTCAAATATGATAAATTTGTTCAGGATTATAGAAATATTTATACCTCTGATGTATGTAACTACCAGAAGAAGAAGAGTTCGATCCATCAAAACTTAAACCGATCAGGTACGAATGAAGAGGAGAGTTGATTTAGCCATGCCAGTCTATTCGTCTGTCTATTTGTTTGTAAAAAAAATTTGACACTCAGTTTTTAAACGATCTTTTGTCGTTAGGTTGGATTGGATCGGATCGAACTATAGCATACATATACAGGCTTGTTCAGAAAATTTGCACACAAAAAATAATTAATCACACATTGGAACCAAAAATGATCGAAATCGGAGAGCTCATAACATATAGTAGTCGTTGTGTGGGGACTTTTTCCTATAGGAGTTATTGGTAAAACTACCTCAAAAAAAAGCAGTAAAATAATGAAATTTGGTATTCTATATTCGTATCTTTTTGCTTTCAGTCTTAATATGGAGTTCAAAAAACACTGAGTTGAAAGTTGGTTTGTCAAATTCCGTTCGGGATATTTTTCTCGCAGGTCGGCCAAGTAAAGTTGATGATGACGATACCAAGGGTTTAAACGAAACGGATCGCCATGTAACTGAGCGTGAGAATGGAGAGAAGTTAAGTGTACCAAAATCAGGCGTTCAATATCATATACGAGGTCTTGGGCTGCCAAAGAAGCTTGATATTTGAGTACCACATGAATTTGGAAGACATTCATTTAACAAGTCGCTAGCGTTATGCATCCTAAACGCAAAGAATATGATTCGTTTTTGAAACAAATCACAACTGGAGTCGAAAAATGGATTGTTTATAATAACGTCAAGCGAAAACGATCATGGTACAAGCATGATGAAGCGCCACAAACCACTACAAAAGCTGATATTCACCAAAAAAAAAAAGATTTTGCTGTCAGTTTGGTGGGTTTGGAAGGGTGTGGCACATTTTGAGCTGCTTCCTAGACACCAAACGATTAATTCGGATGTCTGGTATGAACAACTGGACAAATTGAATAAATCCATCAAAGAGGAGCGTCCAGAATTGTTCAATCGTAAAGGTGTCACATTGCACCAGGACAATGTTCGACTGCACACATCTTTGGTCACTCGCCAAAAACTGAGAAAATTTAGTTGGAAACTGTTGATGCAACCACCAGCCAGCCCTGACCTTGCAGCATCAGACTACCCCTTCTCTCTACCTTTGCAGAACTCATTAAAAATGGTGAAACTTTCGAAAATGACGAGGCTATAAAATCGCACTTGTTTCAGTTTTTTGCAGCTAAAGACAAGAAGTTTTATGAGCGCGGAATAATGATGTTACCGGAAACATGGCGAAAGGTCATTCCACAAAATGGAAATTGCATATTTGATTAAAGTTCATTATGCAATAAAAAGAAAAATTATTCACTTTCTTTTAAAAAACTGCCAGTTCCTTTTGAGACAACCAAATAAAAATAAACCTCCGAAAATCATGGAAATAGGAGATTCTTATGATGGAGGGGCTTAACAAAAGTTCGGTCAGTTGGTGACTTTCAATTTGTTATTGTTAAAACTAAAAATTCCAAATCCTTCCTCGTACAGTCCCCATACAGCCGATTTGTTTAGAAAGGTATGACCTAAAACAGCTCATTTTTCTTGTTTTCATGCGATACTAACAAATACAGCTATTTATGAGGGGAATTTTCTAACAACTTTAACGAAGAAATCTCAAGATTTAGATGATTTTCCAAAGGGCCATAACAAAGGAAAGCTTTAAGAATAGTCCAAGTGTCGCTGAGAAGAGGTTTAGCGCCCCCCAAGTTTTTATAACAGAGCAAAATTTCGATAACACTGATACTAACAAATTGTCAAATACTATTATCTGCATAAACACATACATACACACATATATAGATCTATGCATCAATGTTTATTTACATGTTTTTTGCACCAACTGTCTGCGATTACACAATTTTCTCACATTAAATATGAATTTAACGCACTAATCGATTATGTATGTCAACAACAAATACAAAAACAAAATAAATAATAAATAACTAAATATAAAAATCTGATATCAAAAGAGAAGCAATCGTAAAAAAGCACGCGACTGACCTTGCCACGCGGATGCCCTATTTTTTTTCCATCACTTCATGTTGTTGTTTTCACTTTCGAAAACACGGCAGAGCAGAGGAGCCGAAACAACAAAGGGAATTGTAACGAAAACATGACAGCCATTAAATATGTAGATACATTTACGCGTGACCTTGAGGAACACGAAATACGCAGTGAAAATGCACAAAAAAAAACAAAAAAAAAACAAAAAATGTTGGAATTTAGGGCCACCTCCAGATATACAAAAATACCTTTGGAATTGCTGTATGTAAAAGTGCGTGCACAAACTCGTATGTATATTATATTGTTGTTGTTTTCACTTGTTTCGATTAGGTACCAACCTGAAAATGTTGCGGCATTTGCTGATGTGGATGTTGTTGTTGTTGTGGCTGTTGGCCCGGTTGTGGCGCCTGCTGATGGGCATATGACTGTTGTTGTGGTGACGGTTGTTGTTGTTGCTGTTGCCCACCGCGTGGTGAACCATACGAGCCGGTATTGGCATCGGCATAATAGCCGCCGGTAGATTGTGGACCACCATTGCCACCATTACCATAGTCATGATGTATGGGAATTTGTATGCCATTGGTGTTGGAGTTGCCGCCGCCACCGCCAACGCCCGCTGAGGCGTTAGCGTTTGCATTGGACAATACGGTAGGACGCATTGTTGTTGTTACTGTTTGATATTACACTTGACGGGGACTGTGTGCGATTGGATTGTTATTTTTTTTTTTGGAAATTTGTTGTTATTGTTTTCAACTGTTTTTTTTTTTTTTTTTTGTATTAAAAAAAGCACTTATTGGAGTTTCGCGTTTAGTTTTGCTGTCGCTGTTATTAATTTCGTTGTTTTTCTATATGTATCGTTTGTGTTCCTTCCTGTTGATTTTTGCGAATATTATTTTTTTTTTATCAAATAAATAATGTTTCACTTTTATTTGTATTTGTTAGTTATATTTTCGTTTTTTGTTACTTTTTTGTTTTTCTTAAATTTTGGTTACCGTTTTACTGAAATTTAAAAATATTTAATTAATTTAATTTAAGTAATTTAATTTAATGAAATTAATATGTGTGAAATTCCTAAAACTATAAATTTTTATAGCTTTCTTCGATATTATTTTTTTAGTTTTTTTTTTTTCAAAACACAACACAAATTTTTAAATTTGAATGTCTTTTGTCACTTCAAGATTTTGTTGTACTTATTTATGTCTAAAACATATGTCTATACATAGTTGCCACTTGCATATATATTAAAAAAAAATTATTCAAAAGTTTTTCTTTTCGGTTTTTTATCTATGACTTTATAAAGTGGCTACATTAAAAGCTTTACAGATTTAAGGTATTTTGTTAAATATATTAATTTTTGTTAATTAGTATTATTTATATTAATTTTATTTTATCTTAAATTAGCTTTTTCTTTGATTTGGATGAATTTGAGTAAATTTTTTTTACTTTAATTAATTTATTTATTTCTTATTAATTTATTTTAATTAATTACATTATATTTATCATTCATTTCATACATTTAATTATATTTGAAATTATTTGTTTAATTTTTTTTCCATTTTGTTATTATTTTCTTAATTTTAGTTTACCTTAAAATATTTGTTCATTTTTTACATAATTTTCATTTCTTTACCTTATGCTTTATTTTTTTTATTTTTTTTTTTACTATTTTATTATTCTTTATTCTTTATTTTTAATTTTATTCTACTTTATTATTTTATTTTATGCAGTTTCATTTTATTTGTTTTTATTTTATTTGATTTCATATTTTTATTTCATAACATTTTACTTTTTTAGTCTTTTTCCTTTATAAAATGTTATTTTATTATATTTAATGTTAACATTTTCGTTGGAAATCCATAAAATAGGCTCTTAATTCTTTATATTCACGAAATAATTTAGATTGAATTAAATGCTCATCCGTCAGTCAATCGAATTGTTTCATTTTTTCCAATAATTTTAATTATATTTAAAATATTTATTTTTCTATTTTATTATATTTATTTATTTATTTTATTTAAGTTTCCATTTTATTTATTTTATTTAAGCTTATATTGTTTTATTAAGTTTTATGTATTTTAATTTTATTATTTGTATTATATTTTTTCACATTTTACTTGATTTTTTCCCATTTTTCACAATTTTTCTAGTTATATTCTAATTGATTAATATTTGAAAATTTTTTTAACGTCAATTTTTTTTATTTTAGATTGTTTTACTTTATTTATTTTTAATTCATTTTTTTTTCTTTTTGTTAATTTAATTTTGATATATTTTTTTGTGTTTTGATCAACTGTATTTAATTTAAATTTATTTTATGTTATTTTATTTTGTTTTATTATATTTTTCTTTAATTTTTTTATTTAATTATACTTTATATTCTTTTTTTATATTATTTTATTTTATTTTAATTTAATTTAATTTGTATTGTTTAGTTTTAAATTTTAATTTATTTTCTTAGATTATCATGATTTATTTTGTTCTATTTTATATAATTTTTTATTTTAATATTTTTTTATTTTGATAAATATTATTATTTGTTTATTTGTTGCGTTTCATTGTTTTATTTACGATTTTTTGTTTTTTGTAGTATATTTTGCTTTATGGCACTGTATTTTTATTATATTTGTTTAATTTGATTTTATAGTTTTATTGGTTTTAATTAGATTTAATTCTATTTGTTTTAAATTAATTTGATTTAAATAAATTTGTTTTGATTTAAGTTTATTTTTCATTTGATTTTATTGTATTCTATTTTATTTTGTTGAATTTTAATTTGTTATTGAATTCTAGTTTTCATTTTATTTGATTTTATTATTAGTTTAATTTTAATCTATTTGATTTAATTCAATTTATTTTAATTTAGCTTTGCCTTTCATTTTTTATATTCTATTTTATTTTGGTGTGTATCAAGTTTTTATTATGTTTGATTTTATTTTAGTTTCTATTTCGTTGTATTTTATTTGTATTATTTTTTGATTTACTATTATTTTATTTTTATTTTTTTTATTATTGTCATTTTAATTTTGTTTTATTTTTATTTTTGTCGATTGTTTTGTTTTTATTTCTTTCACACTATTTTATTTAATTAAATATGATACGATTTCATTTACTTTAATTTTTTTTAAAGTAAGTTTTATTTAATTTAATTTTTAATTTTTTCATTTTCTTTAAATTAATTAAATGTAATTTAATTTTATTAAAATATATTTATATTATATTATTATATTTTTCTTAATTAATTAATTTTTCATCATTCATTTTTTTTGAATTTAATTTAACATAATTTAGTTCAGTTTACTTTAATTTTATTAATTATATTTATGTTATTTTATTATATTTTTTTTAATTAAGTTTTATTTCATTTAATTTATAATTTTTCATTATTTTTATTTAATTTAATTTTATTAAATAATATTTATATTATATTATTATATTTTTTTTAATTAAGTTTTATTTAATTTAATTTTTCATCATTCATTTTTTTTAAATTCAATTTAACATAATTTAGTTCAGTTTAATTTAATTTTATTAATTATATTTATATTATATTATTATATTTTTTTTAATTAAGTTTTATTTAATTTAATTTTATTATATTATATTTAATTTTTTATTTTATTTGTTTCTAAATTCGAGTATTCTTTTATTATAATTTCAAAATATTATTCATGCAGCTTTCAATTTTTTATAATTTTATGTATGTTAATTTCAAAAGCATTCTTTACACAAGCGCCAAGCAAACTTTCTGCTTTTCTTTTACTTTTGTCAAGTATTTCGCAATTTTATTATCTATTATTTTATTTAAAATTTTTTATATTTTTGTGACAATCGCTTTTGTGGCTACTTTTTTAAGTGTACGCAGTCTGTTCACAGCTGTTGTGTCCCTTACTCTTTCACGCTTCCTTTCTTTTCGCTCGACACAGTTTGTTGTGGGTGGCGGCGTATGAGCAACCAAGAATACGAGAGTTCTTAATCTCTCTTTTAGCCACCAACTAGTATTAGTCACTTCCACTAGCCACTCACTGGCTCTATGTTTGCAAGTAGCTTGTCTGCTGCGACTGCCACTACTTTTGCCACAACGCGTCCGTACTTGGCGTTTGCTCGAACGAAATTCGACTGCCGCGTTTACTTGACTGTGTAGTTGCTTAGAAGCTGTTCGCTAGAGAAAATTTTTTGTGGTAGATACATTAGTTTGTATCCTCACTTATATGTATGTAGATACCTGAGCACCCTTCTTCTACTTAGCCGTAGCACGCTAATCCACAAGCAGCTGTTCGCTCGCTAGGATTTGCTGGTGGTGTGATGCTCAATTTTCTCATACATTTCATGTTGTTGTTTCTGTTACTATTTTATATTTTGCCATATCTTTGTTGGTGGTGGGAAATTCTATTGCGATGTTTCTAGTAGCTTTGGGATTAAAGCGGAAATTTTTGGGCAAACGTTTTGTTATAGCGCAAAACGCAAAAGCAGACATACAAAAGATGAATTACTTTTAGGTCTTCTTTAAAATTCTTTTTAATTTATATTTTCGCAAATTCTGAACGCAATTGATTTAGGACAAGTGTGCGGGTTGCATAACAGCAGGAAACCGGAATAATGTCAGTCGCATATTTATCGATTTTCGGTACATAAAAGAGTAGCTTTTTGTATGCTCTTTTTGTTGTTGTAGCTGTTTTTTTTTTTGTTTTGCACGCACAATAACCTTGACTGCAGTAAAGACGTAGTAAATTAAGCTGAAAACTTTTGCAACACCACCAACAAATGGCGTTTTGACACGCGACAAAAAATTTTGGCAAATTACTGAATTTCTGGATTTATTTTGTGCAAAAAAAAATATAATAATAATAAAATTCCGCATTGCAGTAATTTGGCTAAAATTAGAGGAAGTTGAGAGACAATATTTTATACAGTTATGACGTCACTATGCGCAGTTGTTTAGCTGTTGCTTGTTGTTATGCTAATTTTCCGTATATTTTTAAATTTAGTTTCACTTCATTGTTGTTTTTGCTGTTGCTGGTATTGCTGCGTTTAACTTAAGCGGCTACACAGCTGAAAGCCGCGTGCTCATCAGCTTATCGCGCACACACTCATGTCGCGGCAAAAAAAAATTAAATTAAGAATTAAAAAAATTACATTAAAAAAAGTTCGTCAGTCGCAAGTGAAAATTAAATGAATTAAAAAAATCACACACATGCATAAACACACGCCTGCACACATTAGCAACAAAAAAGTGCACTTCAATTTACAATTTCATTCGTTTTTTCATTTTTCTGTTTCTCTCTAACCTTTGCTGCTGTTTTTGTTTTTTATTTTCTTTTTTTAATTTTAATTTCTTTGCTCGTCTTTTGCCACTTGCTTGTTGCTTTGGCGCCGTTTGCTATACTAATTTCTGTTCTAACTCACTCTCCCTCGCACTCACACAAAAACAAACACTTATTACGTGTATTTTATTTAATGAATTTTATTTTCGCTTCCGCCGTACTTAATCGCTTCGTTGTTACTTTTTGACTGTCCGCTGTTTTGTCGGTTAACATTTCTTACCTTATTGCCAAACCAAATTGGTAGCGAATGCCGAGCTCTCACTCTCTCATTGCGCACACACTGAGGTCTTCAAGTGTTCCACTGAGTGGAATATATGGGCTTGTGTGCCACTCTCACACGCTCCCTCGTGCGACCAACTCTTGAAAGTGTGCTTTCTCCCTAACCCAGATGCACATAGATTTGTGTGTAACCTTATGTGCATCTGTTAAACTTTCAGTGAGCGAGCGCCACAGGTTTGGTATGAAACGTCTTCAAGCTTTGTTGTGAGCGCGTTGATATTGGGGAAGGAGAGAAGTTCAACGGAAAGTTAGTCGATAGCAATATACAGTGGGGTAATTACATGAAATCCTGCAGATTTTCAGTATGAAGCAGTAAAGCATTCTTAAAGTTCCCAGTTGGTACTACTGCTGAGATTGTATGGATCCATATTTA